GTGGGGGGAGGAATTCTGGGAATTGAAGTTCACACATCTTAAAATGGCTGAGGCTGAGAAACACTGCTCTAGATAACCAAGAGTATATTCTGTCTTCTATCCGTTTTGCAAATTAGTTAAAACGTATTCTAAACATTACATAAAACTAACATTAGTATTTTGGCTGAAGTTTCCCCTTCGCACACCATAAAAATAAACTTTTACCAATAACGTTGCCAATATTGTTTTCAAGCATAGGTGAAATTTGCCCAGAGAAATTTGGGCATGTCAGAAATAACAGCAACAATAACAGCAACAACATCCAAGCAGAACAAAACTGATAAATCACTGACTCAAATGAATAACTCTGTATCATTAATTGCTGTTTAATCTCCACATTAAAATCACAGTAAAACCATGATTCCTATATAAGAAGAGGATTGTTTTTCAGGACTTTGGGAAAAAAGTGGTTTTAGTATTTGAAACATTTATTCAACAACATGTGTAACATTGCTTGAAATACCGAGATTTGGGGGATTTTTAAAATTATTTTTCACTTTTACATCATTATGCCAATTATGCCAATTATAGAAAGTAAACAGCCTGAACAGATCTTGAAACTGAAATGTAAAATTTCACTTTGGTGAAAACAGGCCTGTTTCACTTTAGTGAAAACTGAACAATTCATTAGCTAAAGCAAGACTGATAGCATACATCTATGCCTGTCTAATCTGATGACATGTCATTAGTTCAATGGTGTTTATTGTACTGAAAGTGGGTCTAAGATCACAGCTTCTGGAATGTGATGTATGCCAAATGTCAGTAGTATTATCTAGCAAACAGAACTTTTAAAGTGGCCCATTATTTCAATATTCTTGTGGAATGCAATGCGTTCTTGTGATAAAAGCAAACCCTTTCCTTTTACTAGATTTTTCCAAGCTAGTGGTTGTTCTCTAAAAATGTGCATTTCAGTAATCAGGAAGTGCTTTCTATACAAATGCTTCTGTTGAGTTTTTCCACATATAAACAGATCTTCCCAAATTGATATAGCATAGTTAGTCCACTAGATGGCGCTAAGTATACAGTTTTTATTCGATCTTAATTTCCAATTGCTTTTGAATAGGATGCTGTTTTCAATCAATCAGTCATATCCTAGAAAAGTTCTTTCTGGCATTTTTTCCCCCTAAACATGTCAGTAATCACCAAGGAGTTCAGTGGAGATTATTTCTCTGAGTCTTTGGTTCAAGTATTGTTACATCCACTCACTATTTGATGAAAAATGAATCTGTGGATTTAAGAATGCAACTATACATTCACTTTCTTGGAAGTAAAAACCATTGCAAACTGTGAGGATTACTTCTAAGTAGACATGAACAGGATGGAGGACTAACAGGTGTTATCAGTGAAAGAACATACATTTTGCTTACAAAATTCTTCAGAATTGTAGATAGAGTTGGTAGAGGCATTTACCTGAAATCCTAGAGACTGGTTGCTTGTCAGTATAGACAATATTGAGCTAAGAATGGCTCAGAATGGACTTTTATAGGAGAATTTCATCTACTGAAATTACTGGGATAGTGGATCAGTTCATTGAAACCATTATTACAAATTATTAAACATGACACTGCAACTGCATGTTTATAATAGAACAGTTTCCTTATACTTGATATAGCTATGTTAATAGAAGTCTCTGATTTAAGTAACACTTATAAATACATGGGAGTAGCCATATTGACTCAATTTAATTGATTGTAATTAAAACAAATTAAAAAGTAATGCAGACCTGGCCCCGTCCTATATTATAGAGGTTACCTACTCCAACACTCCAGGAAAAAAGCAGTTGAAGGCTTTACTGTGCACATCTGATTTATTGAGACAGTGGTGTCCTGATCTGGAAAAAACCTTATTTTAAAACAATAGATAGCTGAGAAAAATCCAGCCAGAGGGCCAGATTTCTTATTATTGTTTCCAAGCCAGAAGAGGTACTGCATTCCTACCTCTCTGTGCTCCTGGCAATGCAGAGTTAGGGCAAATAAATGGCTGGCATAAAGGGCGGTGGGGGGTGGGGAATAAGTAACTGTTGGGGCAGAAGATGTAAGAGATCTTTGCAGAAATATTTAATATAAAGGATGTTGATATCTGCCTGTCCTTAAAAAGACCATTGCATTTTGGGAAACATGTCCAAACAAGTTGCCTATCTAAAATGGGCAGCACATAGAACTAGTTCCCAGCTGCAGAATGTGCAAAATAATTGATGCCCATATATAAAGGGATTAATAAATCATAGTTCCTTCTAATTGCTGTTTGAGACTTCCCATGTGACTTTCCCTAAATCTCTTAATCATTCTCTGGCTTACTTTATCATCAAGTTCTGAGTAATGTTTTCAGGATTCTGCTACAATGACCCAGCATTTGAAAGGAAATGCTTCTTTCAGTCTGTTGTGCCACTTTAAATGGACACTTTGATCAAAGCAAAGTGTCCCTTTGAAGACCTTCACAGCTGCAGCTATTAGGTAACATTAATTATCTTTGTACAGATTTGAAAAAGTGATTAACATGTTGCGAAGTATACAGTACAAGGCAATTACAAATATCTGTTAACAAGACGTTCCTTTCCTTTCAAATGCTGGATCATTGTGGCTATGCTGTCTGGAGCCTTACAATAAAAGACCATTCCTGGTTTGGGCAGAACTAGTTAATTGTTCAAGTTGAGTAATCACTTTGAATCAGACTGCTGTAGGCTTGAAGCAATTCACCAAAGTGGAGTTGAGTCACTCCTCACAGGCCTATTAAATATCTCTCTTCAAGCTTTGATTCCTTAACTCCAGGAAGAAGAGCAAGCCATACTGGCAAGACCAATCCCCTTCCCCTCATTTGGATCAGTCCATACACAGGAGGACAAATAAATGAAACAGGGAATCAGGGGGAGCGGGTGTGTGTGTGTCAAGGATTTCCTTATCTAATTTTGAAACCTACATTATAAGAGTCAAAATAAGTTTGTTATCCTCATGTTGCATGTGTAAGAAGACACAGCTATCTTCTCTTTCTCCATCAAATATACCACTAGAGTGTTTTTGATCTGTTTCCCTCTGCTGTAATCTCAAACCACTGAAAGTGAATGTGAATAAAGGAGCCATGTGGACAATGTCCTTATCCTCTGAGAGTGAAGATGTAGTTTAAAAGTGTAAAAACAATGACTTTTTTATATTTACTAGAACTCTATTCCACAGCACATGTACCTCAAATCAGTAGACTTCTTCCAACTGATTATGAGTTTAAGTTTATTGAAGCTATTGAAACATAAATAGTAAATGGAATCAGAAGTCATCAAGTATTACCTTTGGGGTAAACATATGACGAATCCCATCCAGTGAACCATTTAAGAGTAGCCCTCTGATTAGAAAGCACAGAAGTACGACATAAGGGAAAAGAGAGCTAAAGTACATTACCTGAAAGATATTAAAAGCAAATCATTTTAAAAAGAAAACAACCAAAAACATCCTCAACCATTAGAGGTCATCCTGTCCTGACTGACAATAGCAATAATCTAATCAGAAATGTAGGATTATCACACATTCTCAATAATCAATTCTATGTTGTCTTAAACTAACACATTTGCCAAACAGGTGGTCTCCAAATGTATTAGACTTCAACTGCCATAATCTTCAGCCAGCAGAGCCTTTATTGGGAATGACTGGAGTTAAAAGCTAAAATACATTAGAAGGCACCAGGCTGCAAAAGGGTTGCTTAAGAGATCTGTAGGCCAACAACTGTCGTTGCTCCTTTATTGAAATAAATGTATCATCTGAAATAAGAAATTACTTTATTTTGAAAGAAACAAACAAATGAGAACACAACAGTGAAATATGCACCAAGAAAGACCATAATGATCTGGTCACGTCTCTATAAAGGAGACTAGTGGACATATCCAGATTCATTGTCGTGTTTGGTACTCTCTGAAGCTCAAGCCTTCTTGCCCTGCTGAATCACTGAGTAAAAAAGAAAGGGTTCCCCACTCCATATTCACTTAGGACATCAGTGTACCTGTAAACCATAATTTGAAAATAGCAAATCATTATCAGGAATATGTTATTTGCCCATCATTCCCTCCCCCCGACCAAAGTATTCATGATGTCATACTATATCAGTGTCCACATGTGTAAACATGAACTATCATCTCGCTCAATGTCTCAAAGACTGCAAAAATAGGCCAAAAATAAATTTTGTTTTCATTTGTTTATATTTAAAAGTAATTAAAATCAAATATAGTTGCTATTTAATTAATATTTAATCCAATTCATGTACCAGTGATTCTCCTGTTGTACTAAAATTACATAAAAACTAGTAATGACTTCTGGAGGTTTCTGAGGCTACATTCAAAGTGTTTAGGGATTATTTTGTGCCCTGGATCTTACAACACTGATATATGACATGATCAGAGATAGCACAAGAAGGGTAAGGGAATTTGTTTCAAGAAGGAAACAAATTATACATTTAAAGATTGACAGACAGAAGCCTCTGGACTAAATCCAGTGCCTTGCTCCACCAGAAATGATATTTTCCATTAGAAAAAGGGCATTTAGGATTATGTTGAAAAACTAGAAATGTAAGAATCTGAGTTTTGAAAGTTTCCTCTCTGGGAGAGGAAAAAAAAAAAGAGTATATTACTAAAAGAGTATATTACTAAAAACCACCCTGAAGGATACTGTATTCTGATTTTGCTCCTTACCTTTGCTTAGGAGACAAAAAAGCTTGTTCTGAATTGAAGCTGTTTATAGTTAATAATTCTGTTTCTGATTTTTAAAAACTATATCATCACAGTCTGTTATATAAGAAGACCACTGGGGAAAAGGAAAACTGAAAGCAAATTTGTCTCAGAAGGCACTCTGGGAATCCCTATAGGTTGTTTTAAAATTGGCCAGAACACCCCTTTCCCAGGAAAGACTCCCCCCACTTTTTTTTTTCTTTTTGGTTTTAGCAATTGCTATGATTTTAATGGTACCATTCCATTTCAAGTGACGAACAATACAGTTTTAATTTGATGGCCATGTTATTATGTTTGAGGAAAATACTCTATAAATGTTTAAACATCAGCTTGAGATGGCAGAGCAGGTAATAAATTATTGATATAAAAGGTAAAGCTTAGCTCCTGATAACTTTATGACCATGCTCATCTAATTTTTGTGGAATAATATGGAAGTAGTTGGCCACTGCCTTTTTCTGAGGCCGTTTTTCTTAACTTCTCAGTCTAGCCTACAACCCTGATATTTCCCAGTAGTCTCCACTCCAAGTATCATCAAGGTCCAAATCTATTTAGGTTTTTGAGATCAGCCAAGGTCTGCTGACAGCTGTTACTGTTACAGCTGAAAAACAATAAGTCAAACCCATTCTCTATAACTGTAGGAGTGATTGCACTGAATGACAACCCATCTTCGAAACAGAGCACCTAAAGTACCATCTTCTTAGTAGGTGGTATTGTCAGACCACATATTCCACTGTGATCGAGACATTTTGCCCACAGGGAAGACATTTGTGAGAAGAATTCTCACGTGAATATATGTTCCCGAAAACATCAGTGCACTGTCAATTCATTGCCCTTTGGACTGATAAATATATATGCAGAACAATATAAACTAGAATGAATATATATATTGCTCTGAACACATCTGTGTGGTCTAAAGTATGTCGTATAAAAGGCTTAAGTATCGCCACATACTATAAACTATGTTTTCTCCCCGACTGCAGTAGAAATCAAAATATCAAGTCTAAATTTTAGGCATATTATCAAATGGTCCAAATCAGTTGTGAATGGCTCAAAAAAAAAGCAGAAATAAGAAGAGCCCTGCTGGAGCAAAGGCCAGCTATGAGTCTCACAGTAGCCAGCTACTGGATCTGGGAGGTTTACAAGGAGGATTAGGGAGATTAGGGAATTAGAGTCAGGAGGATCATTTAGTATGAAACTTATCTTCAGAAGAATTTGATCATTTTTAGTTTGATCATAAATTATGGCTTCATGAAAGTGGGTGAAAATCTGAAGTCAGACAATTATACTTTTTGGATGTGCTACCATAGTGTTTATCCAAGGAGAAGGTCTACCTATATGATCACTATGAGTCAACACCAACTTGATGGCACATAATCAACCAATCACCACCATTTTTACTCATCTTGATCCTTTGCTTCCTTAACCTTTGCTTGATCCTTTGCTTCCTTAACCTGGTTAACTAGGTGATTGGTTCTGATAATTCTATTAACCCTCTTTTCCACTCTTTCTATTTTCTTCAAATAAAACCATGTTATCTTCTGCACTACCCATCCTGAGCCCCACCTATTCTGTGCTCTCATTTTACATCAGCTCAAATCTTCTTTCTGTGACTCAAAACCATTCAGCTCTGCTTTCCCACTTGCAGTTTACTTAAAAGATTCAGGTCTGGGTGATCTTTTTCTTCCTTTTGGAGTCACCAATATGGTCATGATATCCCAAACACATAGGTTTGATACTTGACCTGACAGTTGCATTATTTCATAGATGTAACCCAGATCCAATTAATAAAACAAACTGTACTCAAAAACCCAACTAGCAACCCCACTCATTTGGATTTTCTTTTCTTTTTTTTTTAATTAAGTGCTGAGATGTAATTATAAGCATTATTCATGGCAAATGAAAAGAGATCAAGGTTCTCTTACCACAATACTGCCTTCTTTTTATCCAAGGATGGTTTTTATAGTTAGCAGACTATAATTTTAAAATTATGGCACCAACATTTCCCGACTTGAAAGTATACACACACAAGCACACTCACACAGACACAGTGAGTCATATCTTCCAGCTTGCCCATGCAAATGTTATGGCAAAATAGGCAAAGGGGGTGGTGAATAAGAACATAGGTGGCAATACTCACTTTGCCTGAAGATTGGATGCCTTTAATCATTGCCAGGCACACCGTAACCCATGCAGCCAATAAGCAGATTGTCATTTTCCAATTCAGACCTCCACTCTCAGATATAGAACTAGAAATATTGAGTGCTTCTCTGTACCAGTAATACGTTGTAGCTGAGCTCTTTTCACATTCTGGCTCTACAACTAAACAGAAAATGAAGGGAAGGGAAGGGAAGGGAAGGGAAGGGAAGGGAAGAGGAGGAGGAGGAGGAGGAGGAGGAGGAGGAGGAGT